CCTCCCTCCCTCCCTCCCTCCTTCCTATTGTGTGTATGTACACACACACATGCTACAGAGCACTTGTGGAGGTCAGAGGACAACTTACTAAAGTCAGTTCTCTTCTTCCACCATGTGGGTTCCAGGGATCAAATCAGGTCCCCAGATTTGGTGTCACCAACTCTACCCATCTCTCCAGTCCCAATTTTTCAATTAAAAATATTTTATTTATTGTTATTGTATGTGCATACGCCCAAGTACACATATGTTCACAAAATGCATGTAGAGCTCAGAGAACAGCTTGTGAATTCTTTCTTTCCCTCCACCTTTGTGTGGGTTCTGGAAATTTAACTGGGGTTGCCAGGCTTGCACAGCAAGTGCCTCCATCCACTGAGCCACCTTGCTGTCCCCTTTTTAATTAAACTGTGAAGTACAAACAGATGCTTCAAGAACAGCAAGATTTTCTAAAATCCTGGAAAGAAAACATGGCCAATAAACTTATCACACACTGTGCTGTTCTTTTTTGAGTCCATGCTCTGCTGGACTTACTGGCTCTCTGCCCTTCTGTCCCCTGACCCATGTGGCTAACTTGTACCTTCCTGTGCCTTCCATGTCTGCCTGCCTTCTGCCATCTTGTTGAAGCATCTTGTCTGTGAGCAATGCTCATTTTCTGTATCTTAACATCTTGTTTATCCCTTCCCTGTGATTTTCCTGGAGTCTTGGGAAGGAGAGGAACTAAAATGTGAGTTCAACCTGCTGTCTGCACTATTTGTCTAAATACTCCTTTCTGTAATTTCAAGTCTCTTCAAATTTACTTCAAGTGTGTTGTATTTTGCTGAGGGCTTATTAGACAGAGAGAATTCATGATTTTTAAAATTGCCTTATTCATGATTTTTTAAAATGTTTTATTGGTTTTTAAAATTTTATGTGTATGAATGTATTTACCTGCATGTATGTAAGTACACCTGTGTTCTGCAATTCCCGAGGAGGTCAGAACAGAGCATCAGATTCCCTGGAACTGGAGTTATGATGGTTATTAGCTGCCATGTGGGTCCTGGAACTTGAACCTGGGTCTTCTGCAGGAGCAGCCAGTGCTCTTAACTGCTGAACCATCTTTCCAGCCCCATTATTCATGATTTTTAAACTATCTGTTATCATTGTTTTTTTATTATGTGTATGTGTATGGGTTAGTGCATGCGAGTGCAGGTGCCCGTGGAGGCTGATGCATCAGATTCCCCCTAGAGCTGGAGTTATTGGTGATTGTGAGCTGCTCGATGTGAGTGCTAAGAGCTGAACTCAGGTCCTTTGCAAGTGCAGCATGTGCTCTTAACGACTGCACCATCTATTGGCTCCCTCATTTCATGATTTTAAAGCAATTTTGGTGTGGTAGTGACTACACTGGGGCATGGGTGTAAGGCATGCATAATGAGGAATTGTCACAGGTCAAGGGCCTGACAATGGGCTCTGACAATCTTGAGTGTAGTGTGAAGTTTTGAATGGGTGTTATTGGGACCAGTGCCCAGTGGGAATGGAGGTGGGGCTGCCAGCAACACTCAGTTCTCAAAGAGGTCCACTGCAGTTGGAGGGAGATGGATAGTAAACAGTACAGACTTGTGATGACTCACTTATGACTTTTCTACTCTAGAATGGTGTTTCAGAGAGATGCATTGAGAAGAAGCCATATTTTGAACTTGGAATTTGAGTCTTTTTCCCAGGACGGAGCTATGCAGGCCAACCTTCTCTCCCAGTGCTGAGCAGCAGCCCTGAGCTACAGCTCCCAGTCAGCTCTGTGATCACAAGTGAAAACAGCTAACACTCCACCATGCTGTGCTGCTCCACTAGGATGGGTAATGTTGGGTATAGCCAGTAAGCTTTTGGCTTAGGATATTTCTCAGCCTATATATTAGTTACTTTTCTGTTGCTATGATAAAAAACCATGAGTAAGGTAACTTAGAAGATTTTATTTGGGCTTACAGTTCCGGAGGGATAATAGTCAGTCATAGTGAAGAGGCACGGCAGCAGAAAGCTGAGCACTCACATCTTCAAGCATCGCAGGAAGCAGAGTAAAACTAGAAGTAGGGCAAGGCTACGAACTTCTCAAAGCCCCCCCCCCCAGTGACGTGCTTCTTCCAGGTAGGTCATGCCTCCTCCAGGTTCCATGACTCTCCCTAAACAGCACCACCAACTGACCAAGTGTTCAAATACTTATGGGGGACACTTCTCATGCAAACCACCACAGCCTACAGTGAACATATGACTCAGCCCTATTATGCATTGAGAACCATCTACAGTGCTAACCTGTGACTGGGGCTTCAGGAACATGGAGCAAAAGGATTCATTCTGATGATCAAGTGGAAAGCTGCTTAGGTCATTTGAGCACAGCAATGACCTCTGATATGGGCCATGATATCAGGGCAACTCTCGAGGGACCAGGAGCTATACTCAATCCAACACCACCCTCAACAAATCCAATCCAAGGACCAAAGTTTCCTTGTCTGTGGGAAGAAACAATTTCCAAAGATTGTTACCCAAGTACTGTGATGGAGCCTCACAAGATGATTGAAATCAAAGCTCCAGTAGCTCAGCAAGCACAGGCAGCACCTGGGACAGAGGCTTCCAGTCTGCTCAAGGAAGCTCTGGGCTCCTGGGTAAACCCCTGTGCCACCTGCTCCCTCCCCAACAGCCTGGCTTTGGTTTGTGTTTACTGGACCTTCTATTGCCACAAGAGGGTCTCCTTCAACTTGTGACCTGATTTATTTTCTTGGTCACCCTGGGAACACTGATGACAGGGCTACTCTCTGAAGGTAACAGGAGGCCTTACAGATTAGGGAAAGACATGAAGTCATATAAATTCTTGGATTTGGTAAACTTAAAAGAAAGAGTCACCTGAGCCTTAGGGTGTTACCCAGAGAGGGAAGGTTGGAGATGTCAGTGTCAAGTGTGATGTTTGAGATCTCAGGAGCTTGGTGGAGGGATACCCTTGGCTGAGGGGGCTTCTTTTGTCTCAAAATCCTGCTTGGTCAGTGGATACACTCATCTGGGAAAGCTTCTAGCGGTAGGGATGGAAGTCCCCAAGCCAGCTGCAATGACAAAGCTGGAGTCAGTGAGTGGCCAGCCTTGCATTGTGAGTTTTTCCCCCA